AGTACCTGAACCAAAGTGCTAAAACAAATAAATAAAAAATAATGTGTCCATTTACTGAAATCATACAAGTTGAGTAAAAATATTAAAAGTGAAATTAACAACTTAATAAAAGCTCAGAGAATAATCATAACCAAATCACATATCAATGCAACATAGTGCAGATGGATAAAGGAATATGCAAAATATATGGGCAGCACAGTCGCTAAATGGTTAGCACTTCCACCTGGCAGTACTAGGGTCACTGGTTCGAATCCCAGCCACGGCACCACCTGCCTGGAGTTCGCATGTTCTCCCTGTGACTGCATGGGTTTCCTCCAGGTACTCTGGTTTCTTCCCACACTCCAAAGACATGCTGGTAGGTAAATTGGCTCCTGTCTAAAAAAAAATTGTCCCTAGTATGTGTATGTATGAATGTGAGTTAGGGACTTTAGACTGTATGCCCCTTGAGGTTTAGGGACTGATGTGAATGTACAATATATATGTATGTAAAGCGCTGTGTAAATTGACAGCGCTATATAAGTACCATAAATAAATATTATATAAATATGCAAAAATATATTCAATAGTAAGTGGTTTCAAACATGCTTGGGACAAAAAAGACAAAAAAGCTAACAAAAAAAAAAACCAAAACCAAAAATACAAAACATGGGCTACTTGGACTTTTTTCTGGCGTCACTGTTCTATATTTCTAAATTGTTGTAAAATAAATACCCCAAATTAGGAAGTGTTCATAAAAATAATCAAAAAAGTGATATAACCGCCACATTATTAATAGCAATATAAGTTCCAATGAAGACCAAATGAAGAGAAGGAGTCCCTGTTGGTGTCTTGATGGAGAGATGGATGCAAATAGCAGAGGCCTGCTTTATATGGTTTCTTCACCACAGCATGTGGACTACAAACCACTTTAACATTTGAAATAACAGGGACACCAACAGGGACTCCTTCATCTATAAGAGTCTTTGCAATTATTCACGTATATTACAGGTAATGGGCCCCAACCACATGTGCCTCTATAGGGTTGTACTGCATGAATCCATCATCATATCATTGGGGTTCATCCCCCCCTTTTTTTCATTTATTTTTTACCCATATTGCCTTATATACTGTAGGCTTAGGGTTATGTTTCTCTCCAGGTGGTAACTGTATTTGCCTTTATGCTTGCATGTGATATTATATACCTATGGTACAATTTTTCAAAACACCTCCCTTAGGGAGTGTAACCTATGTGGTAACTATATTTGCCATTTTGCATAGCATGTGATATTACATACCCATGGTATAATTTTTTGAAAATACCTCCTACAGGGAGTGTAACCAATGTGCGGTGCTGCAAATGCTCTAGACTATGGTGGTCATAGCCTTTGCAGCACATATGTATCCAGACCGGTCTTGGTGTGATTTTAATGGTTTTAGGTCTGTGTGTATTGTCTCATACTGAGGTGATGGTAAACCAGGGCGATTGCCCGAGTGTCAATCATTAATGTGTAATAAAGCATAATTTTGGAAATTTTTCTGAGTATCGCATTCTGTCCATAATGTAGCCGCTTTCTTGTGAATCTCTTTTCACAAATCTCTTCTTTGGTCAACCCTTGATTCAACCCTGCCAGGTCTGTCACACTGTCTTGATGGATATCCAAGCTTACAGGTAACTACAGCACTGTCTTCACAGACTGTCACTTCCACAACAGACCACGCTCATATATATAACATGGTTCAGTGCATAAACATCACAACAGAGGATAGAAAAAAAGAGAGAAGCTTACCATAGTGAAGATGAGTCAGAAAAAATGGTAATGCATTTACAAACAGAAGGGCACAAAACAGCACTTCTACACAGGATGCCTTCTGGAACATTGAGTCCCTGATGAAGTCATATGTGACGAAATACGCTGGGTGGAGCCAGACCACATGCTAACCACACATACACGACCTGGCACGATCTTGGATTTTTCTGCTGTGGCATTAATCACACGGAGGATACAAGAAACGATTTATTAAAGAACTTGTTAATAGCAGCTTACCCGAATGGGAACTTACAACCAATGGAGTGGAGAGTCAGAAGTGAGTAGGCCCAAACTGAGGACAGCACCTGCCAAGGAAAGCGGAATGTGGCTGGTCAGTCCAACACAACAGGGGAGATTTCTGATGTTGCAGGCAAAGGCCCTAAACTTTCCCTTCTCCTTTAGAACCTCTCCCTAGTGCTAGTGCTGTCCATGACAGGTATTCTTTCCCTACACTAGCCACTTCACAAATGCGTGTCAAAACTCATGGGCAGGGACTAAAAAGGACTCTCTGCGTGATCCAAGATGGCTACTAGGGTCTCCTGGATCCAGCGTAGGCAACTGGAATGCTGCTCCAGGGGACAGTGGGAATTATAGAGAAACGCAGTGTCCACTGATTTCCTCCTCCAGCTGCATTGCTGTTCTGGATGAGTGCCACCTGCAGTGGAGAAACTAGACTGGGGGGTGTTTGGCCCATCACTAGTAATGACTAAGTTATTGCCAAATAAACAGGCTCATAGGGAAATTGTAAAAATTGCTCTGGTCCATAAGTGATATATAAGTATGAGAGCTGAAGCTGCTGAAGTGATTGTAAAGGTTAAAAATTTTTTAAAATAACAAACATTGCATACTTACCTGCTCTGTGCATTGGTTTTCCACAGAACGGCCCCTATCCTGCTCTTCTGGGGTCCTCCACCAGCAGTCTTAAATCCTCCCCTTCTTTAAATGCCCTCACAGGAAGCCGCTTGCTTTGGGGGCACTCGTGTGGGCTTGATCCTGAGCTGGACTGTGTGTATCTATTGACAAGGTAAGTGTTTAAGGAGGGGGAGGAAGTTTTTGAAAGGAATGCAGAGATTGCACTAAAGTAAAAAAAACTTTTACCTTTACAACCACATTATTTATTTATTTTTGCATATGATTCAAAGTGAGCATACCTTAACCATTTGCCCTCTTGAGGATTTTCCTCCCTGACCAGGCCATTTTTTGCGATACAGCGCTGCGCTACTTTAACTGACAATTGCGCGGTCATGCAACGCTGCACCCAAATTCCCAGGAATTGAGCTTTCTTTCAGTGGTATTTGATTACCTGTGCATTTTTATTTTTTGTGCTATAAACAAAAAAAGACCGACAATTTTGAGAAAAAATTTTTTTTGGACTTTTTGCTATTAAACATGTCCAGTAAAAATTAAACAAATCTAATTTCGTCATAAATTTAGGCCAAAATGTATTCTGCAAAGTACAGTCAGGTCCATAAATATTGGGACATCAACACAATTCTAAAATGTTTGGCTCTATACACCACCACAATGGATTTGAAATGAAATGAACAAGATGTGCTTTAACTGCAGACTGTCAGCTTTAATTTGAGGGTATTTACATCCAAATCAGGTGAACGGTGTAGGAATTACAACAGTTTACAGATGTGCCTCCCACTTGTTAAGGGATCAAAAGTAATGGGACAGAATAATAATCATAAATCAGACTTCCACTTTTTAATACTTGGTTGCAAATCCTTTTGCAGTCAATTACAGACTGAAGTCTGGAATGCATAGTTATGCTGGGTTTCATCCCTCGTGATGCTCTGCCAGGCCTCTACTGCCACTGTCTTCAGTTCCTGCTTGTTCTTGGAGCATTTTCCCTTCAGTTTTGTCTTCAGCAAGTGAAATGCATGCTCAATCGGATTCAGGTCAGGTGATTGACTTGGCCATTGCATAACATTCCACTTCTTTCCCTTAAAAAACTCTTTGGTTGCTCATGCAGTATGCTTTGGGTCATTGTCCATCTGCACTGTGAAGCGGCGTCCAATGAGTTGTGAAGCATTTGGCTGAATATGAGCAGATAATATTGCCCGAAACACTTCAGAATTCATCCTGCTGCTTTTGTCAGCAGTCACATCATCAATAAATACAAGAGAACCAGTTCCATTGGCAGCCATACATGCCCACGCCATGACACTACCCACCACCATGCTTCACTGATGAGGTGGTATGCTTAGGATCATGAGCAGTTCCTTTCCTTCTCCATACTCTTCTCTTCCCATCACTCTGGTACAAGTTGATCTTGGTCTCATCTGTCCATAGGATGTTGTTCCAGAACTGTGAAGGCTTTTTTAGATGTTGTTTGGCAAACTCTAATCTGGCCTTCCTGTTTTTGAGGCTCACCAATGGTTTACATCTTGTGGTGAACCCTCTGTATTCACTCTGGTGAAGTCTTCTCTTGATTGTTGACTTTGACACACATACACCTACCTCCTGGAGAGTGTTCTTGATCTGGCCAACTGTTGTGAAGGGTGTTTTCTTCACCAGGGAAAGAATTCTTCGGTCATCCACCACAGTTGTTTTCCGTGGTCTTCCGGGTCTTTTGGTGTTGCTGAGTTCACCGGTGCGTTCCTTCTTTTTAAGAATGTTCCAAACAGTTGTTTTGGCCACGCCTAATGTTTTGCTATCTCTCTGATGGGTTTGTTTTGTTTTTTCAGCCTAATGATGGCTTGCTTCACTGATAGTGACAGCTCTTTGGATCTCATCTTGAGAGTTGACAGCAACAGATTCCAAATGCAAATAGCACACTTGAAATGAACTCTGGACCTTTTATCTACTCATTGTAATTGGGATAATGAGGGAATAACACACACCTGGTCATTGAACAGCTGAGAAGCCAATTGTCCTATTACTTTTGGTCCCTTAACAAGTGGGTGGCACATATGCAAACTGTTGTAATTCCTACACCGTTCACCTGATTTGGTATTTGGAATTTGGTAAATACTCTCAAATTAAAGCTGACAGTCTGCAGTTAAAGCACATCTTGTTTGTTTCATTTCAAATCCATTGCGGTGGTGTATAGAGCCAAAAATGTTAGAATTGTGTCGATGTCCAATGGACCCAGTATCTTTGCTAAAAAAAAAACCCAGTAAGTGTAATTGGTTGGTTTACGTGAAAGTTATAGTGTTTACAAATGGCTGGATACTGGAATTTTTTTTTTTTAGTAATGGCGTCTATCAGCGACTTATAGCGGGACTGTGGTGGGCATTCTGACACTGGGGGGAACTGACGTGGTGTCACTGACATTCCCAGTGACACCAATACAGTGATCAGTGTTAATAAAAAGCACTGACACTGTACTAATCGCACTGGGCAGGAAGGGGTTAACATCTGGGGCGATCAAAGGGTTAACTGTGTGCTGTTTTACTGTGTGCTGTGTGTGTGTTCAATGTAAGGACATTGCTTTGTATGGCTGTGCTATACAGAGACATGCAAAGCAGTGTGCAGGAGATATGGTTTACATACAAGTCTCTCCTCCGTCGGAGATACTTGGCGATCACCAGCTGCCAGTGAGTAATCATTGGCCGGGACTCGGTGATTGACAACCGAGGCTGCGAATGGTGGCGCGGGTAGGACCCCCTATCCGGAATTGCAAAATCATGCATATATACGTGATTTTGCGCACCCCTGCCACCTTGTAGCAATATTTCTGCTATAGGGCAGAGGGGAAGTAGTTAACCACTTGCCGTCCTGTATATAAATGGCGGGACGGTGGCAGTCCAGGAGCGGGTTGCCGTTCATAAACAGCGCCCACCATTATGGACTGTGCGCGCTCCCTGGGAGTGCGCAGCACCACGACCCGGTGCCCACTGTGTCCTCCGGACACAGTGGAACACCGATCGTCGTGCGGGACCTCTGTGCCAGGTCCCGATCATGTGATCGCTGATTGGCCAATCAGTGATCACATGCAGAGTAGTAAGCAAGATGTCACTTCTGACATCATTGCTTACTACGTGTGAAATCTGTGAATGATCACAGAGGTCACATGGTACAAGATTATTCACAACAGCCTTGTACCATGTGACAAGCTGTGACCAATCACAGCTCACACAGTAGTTCTCAATTGCTGCAAGAATGCACCCAGAGAGAAGGAGAAATTATTGCTTTTACAGCCTTTATGGGTGTAAGAGCAATCAGTGTAGAAAAAAAAAATCTTCATCAACCCCCCACAAGTAGTACAATGTCACTATGGTGACACTGTACTGCTAGGGTGACAGTATGTAGAAAAACCCCCCATAAATAATAATATAAAAAAAAAATAAGAAATGTAAAAAAAAAAGTTAAAAAATTATAATTTTTGGTTATAAACTAATTTGGGTTATTTTTTTTTTTACTAAAAAGATAACTGAATACATTTTGGCCAAGATTTATGAAGAAAGATTATTTATTTGCAAAATGTTATAAGAAAAACACTTTTTTTCAAAATTTTTGGACTTTTTCATTTACATAGCAAAAAAAATTAAAAATCCTAGTGGTGAATAAATACCACCAAAATAAAGCTTTAGCTGTCTAAAAAAAATGCTAAAGAATTCATAAAAAAAAAATAAAAAAATCTTCATCACCCCCCACAAGTAGTTTGGTGCTGCTAGGGTGACAGTATGTAAAAAAAAACCCCATAAATAATAATATAAAAAAATAAATAAAAATTTTAAAGAGATTGTTTAAAAATTATAATTTCTGGTTATAAACTAATTTGGGTTATTTTTTACTAAAAAGTTAACTAAATAAATTTTGGCCAAGATTTCTGAAGAAAGATTATTTATTTGCAAAATTTTATAAGAAAAACACTTTTTTTCAAAATTTTTGTACTTTTTCATTTACATAGCAAAAAAAATAAAAAATCCCAGTGATGAATAAATACCACCAAAATAAAGCTTTATCTGTCTAAAAAAAAATGCTAAAAAATTCATATGGGTACAGTGTTGCATGACCGCGCAATTGTCATTCAAAGTGTGATAGCACTGAAAGCTGAAAATTGGCCTGGACAGGAAGGGGGTAAAAGTGTCCGGACGGGAAGTGGTTAAAAGAGAAGTACAACCAAAGCTCTTTTGGCTGTACTTCTCCTGTGTATCACAGGAGTGCAGTTTGTTTTGAAGTCTGCTGTCAGCTGACGTCACTCAACTAGTCCAGGCTGGGGAAAGATCCGGACTTTGCTCACAGTGGCGGTGAGAACTCACATTTAGAGCTGGCGGGGGACAGATGCTGTAAGTGTAGTTGGGGGAAAAAAAATTAAGCCAAACTACTGTTTTAATCTAATTCAGTAAATAAAGTGAAAATTCAGTTTGCAAAGGGGAACATTCTCCACTCCTTTAGTACACCAACCTTCGTTTTTCTGCAATGATTCCTGCAAATGTTAAGTGCGGTATTTCTGCTGCTTTTAAAGTATTGCCTTATAGCTTGTTCTCTTATCCTTCATGAATTGCTGAATTTGATGGACATGAGGATAAAAGGTAAGTTGGACTTGCAGAAATTCTAATGCTGAACATCCAACAAATTTTCCTGCTGTTATTGGCCACTGGGAGGGCAGGGAAAAATACTGGCGAGAATACTGTTCATATTACAGAAGGTCACACTGTACTATAGCGGTTCTACTTCTTCAAAGCTCTGTCCCACCATGACCCATTCCAGTTGATTTAATAAAGGAGAAAAAACTATTCTCTAAGCAAAGTGAAGGTTTACTGAGTTAGTAAATAAGTAAGATGTATTTTCTTGAACATCAGATCATATGCAAGGGATATAAAAAAAAAAGATTTCTTTTGCACAAGATTGGTTGATCAAAGTGAGGTAAAGTGTCCTTGCAAAAAAAAAAAAAAATCAACATAAAAAAAAATCCAACTTTTTGCCACAGACCTGCTGTGATTGATAAGCTATCAAGTCCAATGTATACCACGATATATTTCCTGCTGCGTCTGTCCTTTTTACTAGTTCATTACTGATCATGCTGTTATTCTTTAGAATTAAAAATAAAATGGACCAAACAGAAAACATATGTAAGGGACAGGGATGCTGTTTTTGGAGAAAATTAATTTTTCTCTACCAGTTTTTTTTCATTTTCATTCTTCAATCCAGAGAAGGATTTCAAGGGCAATCACGACAATCTATTCTCTTTATTTTAACAAAGTAACAATAGCTAAAAATACCTAAAATCCACCTGGCCTGGATTAGTTAACTTGATTTGAATAGGTTTGCCCTTTGGAAGAAGTCACAGGAAGTGACGAAACACGTCAGGGCGGGGCTATCACACTGCCAGGTAGGGGTCCATACATGGATACAAGTGCTTGGTGATACTGACATCTTATGTTTTAAGGGATATCACAATTTGACATTGTTATGTGCGGTTTAAAGTGGTGCACTACAGTTTATTAGTGCACTTGACTTGTGAGTGTAATTTATATTGGTATAATAAATGTTTTTGGTGGTTTTAAATGATAAAGCACTATGTATACTCTTAGATTGTAAGCTCCAAGGAGCAGGGCCCTCCTAACCCTCTTGTATTGAAATGTATTGTTGCTGTATCGTCTCCTGTTACGTATATTATAAAGTGCTGAGCAAACTGCTGGCACCATATAAATCATATATAATAATTCTAATACTATTAGTCTCTTTTTTTATCTGAGCTAATTTGTGGAAGACAGCACATTTGGGCGATCTGATGATATGGTGTAATCTCCAAAAAAATTACTGAAGGAAGGAGGAGGTAAATATCCTTCAACTATTTAGACCCCTTAAAGGGTAAGGCACATGATGGCCTGCATATAGGTCAAAAGGTAAGGTGAGAGTGAAGAGTGAATGGTGGTGGGAGTCACTGAAGAAATAGTCCCCCCTTTAATTTTGCACATTCATTGGAACTGTTCGACTGGAGATTACAAGTTGGATTTATTGGTTTACCACACAGGGGGCATACTAATGTTCATGGGTCGCAAACCAGTGTAAAATAGTAGATATAATTAAGTTTCACACATCTGTATCATTTTGAAGCATCACAGTGGTGGTAAGACACCCTTGCAAAGTTTATATGTTGTGTATTTAAGAGTTTTTGTATCATATCAATATTACCAAGGGGATATGATTTCTATTTAGATGAATAAGTATTTAATAATGCAGTGCAGCACTTTATGTTTATGTTTGTATACAGGTTGGTCTTGTTGGTTCACTTCTAGTGCATTGCAGCAACATTAACTCATATCTAGGCTATTACAATTTAGTTATTTTTGTGAGGTTGCGCAGAGAATTTATATCATTTAACTAATTTGAATAGTTACAAATGAGCTCCGGGATCTGCTGCCTCTGTCACTCTCTCAGGAATTCCAACCATGAGTGCCATGCATTTCTATTATCTTCATTCTTTACTCTTGTCCCAGTCTAGAAATACTATAGAATGCTGAGGAATCTTTACCATGTCTCTACCCAACCAAAGAAACTCTCATAGAATCTTCCATTGGTGGATTTTGACATTGATGGATCTGATAGTCACAAGTAAATTTCGGGTCTAGTTTATTTGATATGAAGGAGAAAAATGTTTGACTTTTTTGGTTTACCGCTTTCTGGGAGTGACTGGAATCCCTGCTTAGTGACCATTTGCTAAGATCATTTAGCCATATAGAAAGTATTTTGTTTTTAATGAGGTCATCTAAACCATAGACTTCAGATGAGGTAGAGGAGCCTTGAAACATAATCACTGTCTGCAACTATTAATCATGAAAAAGCTGCCACTGCCACTGCCCTATCTGCTCACCTTTAGGCACACTCTGAAAACCTATCTCTTCAGGGAAGCCTACCCCACCCTCAGCTAATTACTGAACTCCTCTACTCTTCCAACCACTCCATCCCCCACAGCTATTTCCTCCTGTACCACTATCCCCTCCCTCCTAGATTGTAAGCTCCAAGGAGCACGGCCCTCGCACCCCTCTTGTATTGAATTGTATTGTTACTATACTGTCTTGTGTACTGTCTCCCACCATATTGTAAAGCACTGAGCAAAATGTCGGCGCTATATAAATCCTGTATATAAATAATAATAATCATCGTCACCACCTCCCACTTACTTTTATCCAAAACAAAACCTCACCACCAAAAAAAAAGGCATTTCACAGGGTGATTCTTTATCCCTATGTGTGCTTTGACACAACTTGCAGCTTACACAGGACTTTCCCTTCACTCCCGATAGTTGAACAAGGGAATAAAAGGAAGGTCTGTATATGCATCTGTGGGGGTCTAAAATAAACCTGTGACTTTGCTGCTTTAAAGTTGACCTATACAAATGCCAACAACAAATCCATGCAAAAGCAATGAGTCCTTTGTGGTTTTTTTCAGTGGTTGATTATTAGGTTAAGGACATTATACATCCAGCAACACATAAACATCTTAACCCATTTTGCATCTCTGGTGGAAAGCACTATAGATGAGACCTCATGCGTAACCACTTGAGTTGTGAAACACATCAAGGTGTTTGTGTGATGCTTAAAGCGGAGCTCCACCCAAAAGGGGAAGTTCCAATTTAAGGACTGTTCCTCTGCTCCCCATTAAGGATTGGCACATTTGGGGGGCAGGGAGGGGAGCGGGCACCCGAATTTGACACCCGCTCCCACTTCCGGTCCGATCGCCTAGGCGATTGGAAACGGAAGGTGTCCACCTCCCTCCCTCCCTGTAGTCTTTTGGGACACATGACAGGTCCCAGAAAACTACAGGACCTTTCAGAAAGCGCAGCGCTACTCACGCATGTACAGTGGGTACCTGGCTGTGAAGCCACAAGCTATAATAGCTGGGTGCCCACACTGAAGATGCCGGCCTCCTGGAATACAGGATGGGCGGTGAAACGGGCTGCGGAGGACACACCACAGGACCGAGGGACAGGTAAGTGGCTGTTTCTTAAAAGTCAGCAGCTACAGTTTTTGTAGCTGCTGACTTTTATTTTTTGACAGGGTGAGTGGAACTCCGCTTTAATGTATAATGTGCTTCTAAGCTGGCCATAGAAGGCTTAAATGTTGACTGCGTCCTGATGAATCAGCCAAAATTCAAGTCGTGGGTTGCTGCCCTGCCCTTCCTAAACTGGTCATAGAGGGCTCAAATGTTGCCTTTTTCCTACTGAATTGGCCAAAATTCAAGTCTTGGGTTGCCCTGTCCTGTTCGACTGATTTTCTTTGTTATAGCCAAAGGCTGAACAAGTGGAAATCTAGATTTGTATGGCTAGCTATAACCTAATAAACACCACTGATTTGTAAAATACTACTGAGGGCTCATTGCTTTTGTATGGAGTTGTTTTCAAGACCTGGGCAGGGTATCAGGAGTTTCTACACAACAGTGAGATCTGGAGTTAGGCCTCCATGTCCATAGTGGAGTACTGTCATATACTTCTATACAAGTGCTAACCTAATAGGCTGAAATATTGTTCCTGGAGAAAACACTGCTCCAAGTTCCCTTAAGTGCTACCACTTGAGTAAAAACATAGGATCAAAAGTTGGCCATTCACTAGTGCAATTTTCAAAATCTTTCATTTTAAGCACGTTCTTTCAATTCTCTAATCATGAACGTTTATGATTATTTTCGACCACAATGATGAAAAAATTTGAAGGAGCAGGATAAAAATATTTCTCAACAGAATTAATTTCTAACAATTAATGTGGTTTTTGTTAGGGAAAATATATTTGTTCCAAAATCCAATGCTGAATGCAAAATTTTGAAGAACTTTTGAGTGACATTCATCAAGTCATCAAATATACTGAGAATGTTCGTATGAATGTTCATACAAACATTTATTTGAAAATATATCACATAATATCTGCTGCAAGAGATGAGCAGACAATCTGAAGTGTGATCTTTTCTATTAGGCAGTGGTCATATGACCAAGTAAATAGGCCTTTAGATCTGTGGCCAGCACTGAAAAGAGCCTGAGCATCACGTTCTTCATGAAAGGTAAGTATTTAAAGTGACTCCATTACTGTAACAACAAAAAATTGTGCCGGTGCCACCCAAATGGTGAGGTGTTCTGAATAGGTGAACAATCTGACATGTGCCTACACTTTATCACAGTGGGTAGCTTTATTCTTGTTACAGCGACAGAGTAACTGTAAGGCCCAGGGGTGGACTGACCATTTGGAAACTCGGGCACTGCCCGAGGGGCCGGGGTTAGTGGGGGGCCCCGTGAGATGCCCCTGGTACCTTTTTCATAGGTTTTTTTGAGTTTGGGCAAGGACCCCCTATTGCCCGGGGGCCCCATGAGTTGTCAGTCTGATACCCTGGTTAGGCCTTTGATCACTTTTCATTTATCTGTCTCAGCAAGATGGTTAACAAAATGGCTATATGTTAACATTTGATAAACCTATTATGGTAAATGCTGACCTTTCAATCTCGTTAAAAGTATTGGTAATTATCAAATTTGAACAATGTTTTATTTCAACATTTGATTACGCTAACTTGAAATAATGAAAATCTAAGGACTTTAAGTAAAAAAAAACACATTTACTTATAAATTTATGAATTAAGACTTTTTTTTCAGTGGAGGCTTTTTTGTGACATGCATTTTTTTACAACTAAATCAAAACAATTTTTTTCATACAATACGATGAACATAAAACATAGTAAATTTAATTGCTTTCAGATTTATTCTCCTCTATAAGATTTTTTTCTCAATATGGTGCTTTTTCTGCATACCAAAATCAGATAACGTTGAATAAAAACAAGTGAAAAAAAATTAAATATTGACCAAAAAAAAAAAAATCTGAAAGTTACATCCGCAGTGAGACCTGTTGGAGGTATGAACATCATTTGCATCATTATATATATTCGTTATTTTCAGAATTTAAAAACAAACTAAAAACGTGAAAAAATTTTTGTCAAATACTTTACAGTTCAAGAATAAGTGATTTGGTCCATTGTATAGTTTAAACTAAAGATATATTTATATGTATATATATAAAAAAAAATAATCAGCAGCAAAAAAAACTCTGGATATAATTGGCCAGGCTAATCAGTCTTTTCAGTTTTGGCATCTTTGACCACAACATCGGAAGATTTTCGCAGGGGTCCTTTTTCTGAGTTTCCGTTTCCTTGATTGCTGTCTGTAACTCCCCCGGATTTGTTTGTCGTGTGTTTTTTCCAAATAATTTAGCATTTCGCTTAGGACTGTTTGGAAGGTGCTGAGAGCTGCGCATATTGCTGGGGTTCCAAAACCATGGGTGATCAAACTAAAAGAGAAAAAGCAAACAAGGTCTATAAGTAAAATCCTAAATGAGAAAATTAGGAATTCAAATGACACGGGACATTCAAGATGCCACAAAGTACAATAAAAAATAACATTGTTAAAATTGTATTTCTTGTTTTTTATCGTTATATCACTAATTAAATATATTAATAATAATACTATAAATAAATAGACAATTAATTATAATTAAATAATTATATCAATAATCATCATTAGTCTTAATCATTAAGCTACATGTACAGCCAAAACTTTCTTTTTGATGCACACAGGTTGCCTTTGGGGACCTGAACCCACATGCACCTGCATGTCATACAGGGACACATTAGCTGTGTCCGTGCAGCCATGTGTCTCAACAGACTAAAATGGGACTCCGGCACAGGGATGCGCGTAGAGCCTGTGCATCCCCATGCCGGTAAAAGACGGCTCTGCATGGGGCATGGAGCAAATCACCCCACATAAACAAGGCCTAACTAGAGAGATTTTTCCATATTTTTGGACCCGATCACAATAATTTTATTATTCAGGAAGAAAGAATAAGGGCTCATGTACACAGGGACACAGAAGGAAGACTCTTCTGAATGATGGTAAAAATGTCAGTTTAGCCACATTTGCATACTGTGTTTATGCGCTTTTAGCTGTGTTTATGCGCTTTGCATTCAGAAGCGCTTTTAAAAGATAACCTCAGGAGATCTTCCCAAATGCCCAGAATGCACTGAAAAATAGTAAAAAATTAACTATTTCAGATATTTTGAGACAGAAAAATTGAGACTGTCCGTGATACTTTTTTTATTTGCACTAACATACAATTTTGATATTTTGAGAGAAATAGAGAGAGCAGAAGCAGAGACAGCAGTATGTGTTGAGATGACCTGTCTTTTCTGGTTGTATTCACTATGGATCCCATCATGAGCATAATGCGGCACGTTCTACCATTTTTTCCTTCACGCGAAACCTGGAACTGACTGCACTGGTGTACCGGGTTCATTTGAATACATGGAAAATGATTTGCATGCCTTTCTGATGATGAAAAAAGGCTCTGGACAGCATCTGGATATGGAACAGTTAAAAAACGCTTCTAAACGCAAACGCTTATAAATCTGGTTTAACCGCATTTACAACCGTTTTCATCATCAGAAATGCATGCATAGCATTTTCCATGTATTCAAATGGACCGGTACACCAGCACAGTCAGTTCCAGGTTTCACGTGAAGGAGAAAATGGTAGAATGTGCTGAATTGTGCTCATGATGGGATCCATAGTGAATACAACCAGAAAAGACAGGTCATGTCAACACATACTGCTCTCTCTGCTTCTGCTCTCTCTATTTTTTTTCAAAATGTCTGAAATAGTTAATTATTTACTATTTTTCAGTGCATTCTGGGCATTTGGGAAGGTCTCCTGAGGTTATCTTTTAAAAACGCTTCTAAACGCTACGCTTCATAAAAGCGGTATGCAACCGTGGCTAAACTGGCATTTTTCAACCTACAGCCAGTTTCCATTCTTCAGAAGAGTTTTCCAAATGCCTCGTGTACATTAGCCCTTAATCTACAACACAGACAGCAAAAAAAAAAAGGTGACAGGACTACTAACATTTTTTTTCCTATCAGTGTTTCTGTTGAAGATTTCTTGTATGGTGAAGCCATTGTCACCAGGAGAGGATGTGAAGCAATAAAACCTGCCAGGGGTTAAAATCCTTCCATACTATCCAAAACTGAAAAGAAACATTTTGTTTGGACATGCACTTCAGGTCTTATGTACACAGGGTGATTGCCCAACTCTCCTAGATGCCTTTCCTCCTGGCAGCAACGCTTGGGTGTTAATTTATTTAATTGGCCATAATAATAATTTATTCTGGCCATTGAATTTGTGCTCAAACGTTTGAGGTGCCTTAACATGCATTTAGACGCATTTACATGTGCCAAGCAATTTTTCTGCCAAAACGCTGCTCCTGGATGCACTTGCAGTGGGGTTTTTTCCTACTGCTAATCGCCTCTAAATGCCTATGAGTGCATGGGCACATCTGCTAACACGCCGGGGCATTTAGAGGCAGAAAAAAACACGCCAGACTCCCCTAACAGCAGTTTGCAGGAGGCCTCAAAATGAATATAATAATAGATAATTTAATTGATAATAAAACTGATAACTTAATTATCATTAAAACATCACAGAATTTTATTATTTGTGACACAAATAATCGATATACGTCATTACTAGCTGATATGCTTTCCAATGTCAAATTCAACAAAATATCATACACAATGTTACATATTATATATTCTTATTAATCTGTCATTTGGTCATCATACTATGTGGCTGGAAAAATAACTGTATATCACATCTAGAAAAAAAAGGTGTTTCCTCCTTGTTATGATCAGCATCTCTCTCATGCTTTGCTCATCATCTCACGGAAGGATATCTAAAGGGACTATGGATTCAGCATAGAATACCCACAGAAGGTCTATGCAGATAAATAAACACACCATTTGAAATGAAATAAAAAATACAAACTAAAAAAAAAACAAACAAAAACAAAATATGATGTAAAATAAGGTCTTACAGTTGGTGCTTAACAATGCTGTTTACATAAAGTTAGAACGATCAATATCCTTGAAACATCACATGAGATTGCTCCAAAAATCAATTTATTTCTCAGAATTATGCAGTTACTCTACTGGGACCATCTTCCTTAGAAAAGCTCATTTACCTTGTACATTTCTATTGTGCCAAGAATTTATATTTTTTTATTAGAGAACAATGATGTAAAAAGAAAGAAAAATACACATGTAGAACTCAGAATGTTCAATAACGGACAGAGTTGCTAGTGTTATTTAAAGGGTCAGACCACTTCAGTTTTATTAGAGTTTTTGGTAGATATGGCAGAGTCCCATATCTTTCAAGGACTCTTGGTGAGATTTCTGTGCCTGATTTTCAGGATCATCAGAACTACAGCAGCCACAGTTCCCTCACTCCCTGTTAGATATTCATTTACACTTTAGGGTTAAATTTTGTGCATACCTGATGATCTACCTGTATGTCCAAAAGTATGGGGGAATCCCTTAAACGTACGCAATTCAGGAGCTTCCAGAGAAGGGTATTGTTAATATTACAGCATGCAAAGACATTTTGGACAATCTTCCAACCTTGTGTCAACAGTTTGGGAAAGCCTCTTCGTGTCCCAGCATGACTAAAGACATAGTTTAATGAGAGTAGTGTGGAGGAACACGAGTGTCCTGCAGAGCTCTGATCTCAACACCTTGGGATGAACTGTAATTCATTGTGAGCCAGGTCTGATTTCACAAATTTTTGTTTGGTTGAATGAGTGAAATTCCCACATACTCTTCATAATCATGTACAAATCCGTCCCAGAAGAGTGAAGGATGTAGAAGCCACTAAGGGGGAACTTCATATGAATGCCTGTGGTTTTGTGATAGGATGTCCAACAAGTATAGATGTTATGGTAAGGTGCCCACAAACCATTGGCCACAAAAAGTATTTAGTATTATTAGAAATACAACTGGAATGGGGCCACCTGATGTGGATGAGATCACTCAAAACATAAAGTGGGCTGGTACTGAGCCAGAAAAAAGGAAAGCATATCCTGCCTCTGGAGACCCCCCCCCCCCAAATATTTAAAGCCAATAGGCTTGTCAGATCACCAGGCGCTGAAATATTTATTTTTAGTAGATTGGCTCTTTAAACGTATACTAATTAATGTAGTCAGTATTCATTAATTATTCAGCTTGCGAATACTTTCAGGAATGGTCATGCACCCATAGTGGGTCTGTGGTTCTAATTTATTAGGATTACCAACTAATCTACCAGGTTCTCATTTCCCAGGAATGTAGCAAGGAAGCCTTACCCTGATTTGCAAAACCCAAATGCAATGGGCACTTAACATGCTTGCTAAAACCCAGAAATGAACCATGCACTTGCCAATTCTTTGATGTAGAACACATTATTATTATATTATTATTATACAGGATTTATATAGCGCCAACAGTTTGCGCAACGCTTTACAATATAAGGGAGACAGTACAATTACAATACATTTCAGTACAGAAGGAATAGGAGGGCCCTGCTCGTGGAGCTTACAATCACATATAGTCTTCTTCTAAGCACACATATCTAGGCTCATTGTAACTCAATAAGCTGAAAAGGGAAAAGTGCATGCGTCATGTTTATTTATTTATTTTTTTACAAAGCCCTGATTAGCCTGGTAATCATGTAACAAGGTACCAATGTCTTAACATGCTGGCTGGAAATCCTGATTATGAATTATTTACAGGCAATAATTTATCTCTATCTGACAAATTTTATAAATCAAATTCTTAGTCCTGAACATAAATTAAAGATAAAAGAGGTCAAGAAAAAATACGCCTAGATTGCAGGGATCAAAAAGCAGCTTGCATCTAAGCTACCTCTTTTAAAGACAGAATACATATTGGGTAAATGAGAAAGTTAACTTTTTTCAAGTAATTAGAGTCAGAGGTAGATGCAACATTTGTGCAGACTGTGCAGCAAGGCCCTCTGAGAGCTAGGGGCCAAGCTATAGTAGATATGGGTCACATGGGTGCTGGTACCCTTGTGACCCATATCTACTATAGATAGATAGTAGACCTGGACATGGATTACTTCTATATAGTTGTCAATCAATCAGGATAGGACTGGGAATCTTTTGGGCAAACACAACAAACTAGCCCTTGATAGGGGCAGGTTTCTGTTGACTATAGAAATGTGATCATGGTTTTAACATGACACAGCCTTTTACATATTCCAGCATCAGCTTCCTTGTGGTTCTCGGCGTTTGGTCAAATGATTTCTCAGACCATCTTCCAGATGTTGTGATCGCAAGCTATAACTTTGAATGGGAAGCAGGTGGCCCACAATTTGAGACTGACAGCAGTCCTGCTCTACCTGATGCCTGAATGGTGATGTATCTCCACTCAGGGCAACCAACGCAGCATATCTTATTAGTACTGACATGGGGTAGATAAATTGGGGTGCCAAAAGTACATCTTGCTAGTGGGAACTTTGACAAAAACGGGCAATGTAGGGTGTTTTTAACCTAAGCTGATAACTTTTTTTTGCAGCAAAAGTGATAACCATAATTTATGTAATGTACTTCTTTTATATGACCACTTCTATTGTCAAAAACACAATCCAGAAATGTGGCTTTGGTGCTAGTAAGTCAAATTGATGCTCAAGAAACTGCAGCCTGATCTATTAAACAACTGCACTTAAGATATTATGAACATTTTTATAGGAAACAAATAAGGTTTGAAATAATTTTAAAAGAATATCAGCAATTGTATGCATAAAAATTGGTATTACATACTTGTGCCAGTAGTTTGGCAATCTTTGTGTCATCAGAGCACCATGCCAAATCACAGGAAACCATTATGCCAAATGGCAAGTCTCTTACCTAAAATGCGTTAAGTGTCTCTGAATGTCAAGGTCTAGGATTGGAGTGGGTCTGGAGGAGCCCAAGGGCGATCTGTCTTGACTTAGAAGATCTTGAAATTCTTTGCAAATTTGTCTTAAAAGAGGACAAAATAAATTATTATTAATACATATTTTTTTGCAAACAGTTTTTTACAAGGTAATTTAAACAAACCTTTGTTAAGCTCCAGAGATGATGCCAGGTAATTGTGAATACTCCACAAGTTAAATGTCTTAGAATACCATTCACTCAGCACTCTCATTCATCCAATTTGTCACTTTCAATTGTACATTTCCAAACTGTGCTTCTTAATAACATAGGGCCCCTTGCCCACACCCTCATAATCTCTCTCCTTCACTACAATATTATTCTCCTATGCAAAATACTACTAAAAAGACTCCCATATTTACAATGTATCATAAATGCTGATACTTAGTACTTAAAGAAGAATTCAAGGTATGGATATTTTCTTCAAAGTTGCATTCATCCAGCTTGGGCCAATTTAATTATACATATACCATACCTGACCGATACCCCGGAAGCTGGAAATCACTGAAGAAGACACTGCTACTCCAGTGATCTCCAACTGCTTCCCATCCTAAACTGAGTCAGTATCTAGAGCCACTATCTATCAATGCTATGAATAGCTGGCTATCTCATAGTATCTTTTTTCAAGATAACAACCAACCTGAAAAATAAATTTAGGTTAATGTTTTGACCTTTAAAGCTCAACTGAAGTAATGAAAATAGATATGTAGTTAGGCAGCCACCAGAAATAAAATCCCTTACGCTTAACAGAGAAGTTTTTGAAAAAAAAAAACAGTCATACTCACCTGGGTAGATGCAACATCGGACCAATGCTGCATTTGTCCCCTAATGTCTCTAAGACCAAGAATTGAGCAATCAAAAACCACTGATCGCTCAATTCACCATCTTCAGGAAGCAGATACTGTCAATCACTGGCTTTCTGCACTACCTCTCCAGTGTTTGCTGGAGCATCAGACTGTGGAGGGGTGGGAGAGGCTGGCTCAAGGTCTCAGTGGCATGCTGAGCTAGCTACTGGTTAGGCTTCTGGAATCATCCCAACATTAAGGCGGAGTTCCACTTGACCTATCAAAAAATAAAAGTCAGCAGCTACAAAAACTGTAGCTGCTGACTTTTAAAAAACAGCCACTTACCTGTCCCTCAGTCCCGTGGGGTGTCCCCCGCAGCTCATTTCACCGGCCGTCCTGTATTCCAGGAGGCCGGCATCTTCAGTGTGGGCACCCGGCTGTGATAGCTTGCGCCTTCACAGTCGGGTACCGACTGCGCATGTGCTTCGTGAATGGTCCTGTAGTCTTCTGGGACCCAAAAGACTACAAGGAGAGAGGGCACCTTCCGCTTCCAATCGCCTAGGCCATCGGACCGGAAGTGGGAGCGGGTACCTGTCAAATTTGGGTACCCTCTCCCCCCTGCTCCCCAAAGGTTCCAATCCTTAATGGCGAGCGGGGGAGCAGTCCTTAAAGCGGAACTTCCCCTTTTGGGTGGAGCTCCGCTTTAAAGTCAGGATCTTTCCAGAGCCTGGTCCGGCTGAGTAATGTCACATGGGTTACAGGAGTGCAGAACTACCTACAGGAGGAGTAGGGCCTAAAAAGTGTTGGCTCAATGTCTCCTTTAATAAAAGAGGTATAACTGCCCACCATTGTTCCATGTGCTGCAAACAGGCAGTATTGTGCTGGGAAAGACAAATGGTCATAAGCAATGTTTTAAAAATTCCCTGGATCTCACTGAAAAGGATAAAGGAGAATTTCACTATATGGTATAATTTCCACAAAAGTGATTTTGTAATTCAATGTTAATAAAAATGTAATTTTTATTTTGCATCCAAATATGACTTTTTTAAAGCTTCCAGAAAATTCAATTGTAGCTTTCTTGTATACCCGGAAGGTATACTGTATACTATTTATGTATAGTACGTCCCCAGAATCGCATTTCTTGCTTATGCGATTGGCTCACTGTTTTATATTGAGGTTAGCATCAAGTAAAATTTCAGACATCCCATGCTTTGTACTTAACTCCACTTTTGTAGAAAAGATAAGTATAAAAAATAAAAAAATAATATAGCAAATACACATACTAGACAAGCCATATTGTAATTTAATGTCATTAAAATTACTTTTCCTTCTCAATATGCAGTGTTCCAGCTGTCTGTAAAATTCAGTATACCTTTAGTATACAGAACACCCATACAATTTATATTCTCTTGCTTGTGTGATTGCCTCACTGATTTTCCCAGTAGTATACACTTAGATACAAGTCAAATGTTAGGCATCCCATGCAATAGGGGTTTTAGTTTTGGTGAGATACTCTGCAAGGGTTAATTAATTTTAAAGGGATGCTGACACCGCAGCTTTTCACATTGGACCACCAACAGTGCACCATGTGAATATAATGAACCAGACTATTCCTTCTGTTTAGAAACAGTCTGCAAAGGACATGGCAAAACGAACAGCTATTTCTTCAGGGCAGAAAAAGGTAAAAGTCTGCTACAAAGTTTGTTAAAATCCTTGAAATGGGCATGTATCACCCAGACAGGATTGTTTTTCTCAACAAAAGCTGAATTAAATTATAAACTTGCTAAAGTAAGCCTTTAATCTTTGGCAATGTGCTGGCCAAGTGTATTGCATATCTGCAGGGATCTTGTGATATGTTTAGGGATCCTGCCCTATGGAGTTGTGTTCTTAGCTAAATTTAGTGTGTGTTATTGCTAGTCTGTAACCAGACTTGGCTGTTTTTTCATGGGCTCTACAGGTCTTCTAATGTAGTGTTCAGCAATTCAAGGCAAAATGACTAATGTGACTGGGTCCAACTTATTTTTTGCCCCATCAAACACCAAAATGCTAACTCTCTAAACCAGCCTTCTCAACATTTTTATCCCAGAGGAACCCTTGAAATAATCTTCAGGTCTCAAGGAACTCCAGCTAAAACCAATTTTTCAGAGGTCAAGCAAAAATATACCTACATTAGTTGCTAGTAGGAATAAAGCATCTCTTACAGACAGCTAAAAATATTATTGGTGTCCTGCAGCTGGTTCTTTCTAGTGGTACTGACCCTGGAACCATGTAGATGCCCTCAAACTGGAGGTCAGTCAGCCACAGCTTAAGGAACCCCTAGCAATCTGTAAAGAAACCCTAAGGTTCCATGGAGCCCTGGTTCAGAATTGCTACTCTAAACAATCTAGGGCCACCTACCTCTGTTCAGGGGTAATGGGGTGCTACATGTATTTTTATCTTTCTATGTATTTTTCTTTGACCACTCTCTTTATTTATCAGACCAAAAAGTCTAACAATCTGCTTTGACATTTGCCAAAATGAATGTAATATTTAATTGATTGTTCTTTTCTCAACATGTTAAGTCGAATTTCACTGTAAATATATTTTTTTATTAACATATTTCATATTGATTATTTTTCTGCAGTTCATCTTTATGAAGAAGCCATATCTTGACCTTGACAAAGAGGCCTTGAGATGTGAGTACATTGTATTTCAGCCCCTGGAGCCTTGGCACTTATTTTACAAGAATGATCCTTGCAATGCTGTCAGTGACTGCCATTGAACACAAGCTCTCCCTACATAAAGCTCTATGGTTGGACTCGTGAGAAATCAGTGAAGTATTTTACCACTGTAGTCCCAACAATGCATTGTTAGTCTAGATATAAGATGCATCATTGTTCTTTAGAACACAACAAAAAATCTTTTCTGTATCTGGTACATACTTGTAAGGTTTGAGTAAACTTTTTATTTTACATTAAATAAGACCGATCCAGCGCTTTTTTCAGTGGGGGAATGCAGTTCCAGCACCTCCAGCACTGAATGTATGTAATGAAAAGGGGATGCTGGAGGGTCTATTTTCACTGGCGGGAATCTATTTTTGCATAGGGGTCTATTGTTGCTGGGGGGGAAGTTATGTTACTCGGAGTGATCTCATGTTGGAAGAAGAGTCTATTGTTGCTGGCTGCTGGAGAGCCTATTGATGTTGGCTGCTGGGAGATCTGTTTTTGCTGTTGGTGTTTTATGATTGCTGGGGTGGTTCTGTTGTTGTTGGCGTGGTATTTTGTTGTGGGGGATCCTTTGTTGCTGACTGCAGGGGATCTACTGTATTTTACTGCTTTTCTTGTTATCCTTAACACATTACATACAAATTGTTTAGTACCACAAAATGATACTTGGTTCTGTATTCTCTAAATGGAGCGGTACTGGGAGGAGGGAAGGGGGTGGAGAAAAGGAGTGACTAAAAAGTTGGAGAGTTCCTGCACCTATTTTCTGAGAAAAAAGCCCTGGACCTATCCATAACATTATAACAGATTAAAGTGGTTCTAAAGCCTGGACATGTTTTATTGTAATGCATTCCTTGTATTAACCACCTTCCGTCCGGCTGTTGTATATAAATGGTCAGGACGGTGGCAGTGCAGGGTCGGGTGGCCGTTTATAAATGGCCTCCCCGCCCCCTGCTTGTGTGCGCTCCCTGGGAGTGAGCAGCACCGCGATCCAGTGCCCGCTGTGTCCTCCAGACACAGTGGAACACTGATCGTCGGACAGGACCCCTGTGCGAGGTCCCGATCATGTGATCACTGGTTGGTCAATCAGTGATCACATGCAGAGTAGTAAGCAAGATGTCACTTCTGACATCATTGCTTACTACGTGTGAAATCTGTGAATGATCACAGAGGTCACATGGTACAAGGCTATTCACAACAGCCTTGTACCATGTGACAAGCTGTGACCAATCACAGCTCACACAGTAGTTCTCAATGGCTGCAAGAATGCAGCCAGAGAGGAGAAATTATTGCTTTTACAGCCTTTATGGGTGTAAAAACAATCAGTGTAAAAAAGAAAAAAACAAATCTTCATCACCCCCCCCCCACAAGTAGTACAGTGTCACCATGGTGACACTGTACTGCTAGGGTCACAGTATGTAAAAAAAAAACATAAATAATAATATAAAAATAAAATACAAATGTAAAAAAAATGTTTAAAAATTATAATTTTTGGTTATAAACTAATTTGGGTTATTTTTTTTTTTACTAAAAAGATAACAGAATAAATTTTGGACAAAATTTATGATGAAATATTATTTATTTGCAAAATTTTATAAGAAAAACACTTTTTTTCAAAATGTTTGGACATTTTCATTTACACAGCAAAAAAAATAAAAATCCCAGTGGTGAATAAATACCACCAAAATAAAGCTTTATCTGTCTCAAAAAAATGCTAAAAAAATCATATGGGTACAGTGTTGCATGACCGCGCAATTGTCAAAGTGTGATAGCGCTGAAAGCTGAAAATTGGCATGGACAGGAAGGGGGTAAAAGTGGTTAAGATACAAAAATGTCCCAATTTTGTATTGCCTGCTCACCCCTCTCTATATCTACCGGAGCCCGATCTCAATTCAGCGCTGTGCTCATGTGCAGCACCTCTTCTCCCTGCTCTTTCTTCTTACAGGAGACTCAGCAGCAGCATTGGCTCCTGCTGCTGTCATTTAAATCCTGTGAGGAGGGAGAGGGGGGCGGGGTTGAGCCATGTTGTGTTTGTCTCTAGACACACAGAGCCCGGATCAAGACCAAGCTGACAGGTGTGCCCCTATAGGAAGTGGCTTCCAATGGTGGTGCACAGAGAAGAGGAGGAGCCTAAAGTGCTGGTGGGGAACCCCAGAAGAGGAGTTTCGGGATGAGGTCCCCTGATGTGGTCTTCTTGTATATGATCCATTTGCCAGTTGAGGACAAAACATTGCTAGGAATGGACGGCCATTACAAAACATCTGTGGGTGATTTTGAACTTGCACACAAATATACTTTTTGCAGCAACATACAATGTGGAATTCTTTTCTTACTTTGTGGCAAGGATCATCTTTTTCCTCGCTGTTTGCTCTTTCTGTTCCATGTGCTGTCTGGCCAAGTGTTCTCCTACGGCCTTTGCTGGAAACTCTGTTTCACAGGTATACCCAAAATCTCTGGCCAAATGCAATGCCTCACCTGTAAAAAAAAAAACAAAAATAACTAGTGTTATAAAAAGACATGATGAATGTAAGACGGAACTTACACCATCCAGGCTAATTTTTATTTTTTTTCATTACAACAAAAATGATTTATTTACTTTAAAGCTAACACAGATATAAAAATTTAAGAAAAATTCTCTAAAAGACTCATTAGACAAAAGTTATAATTTGTGTATGTACCATTAGCTATATCTTCATATCCATGTGGAATATGCAAAAGAAACAACAGCAGGGTGCAGGAATTTAAGAATCATAAGAGCATCACTTTATTATAGAGAGCACACTTACATATTAGAAATTCTACTGCAGCTCCAGGGACAGAAAGTGATGGAAAGCCCACAGTTTCCCCGGAAGGCCAGCTTGACAAAGAGGGTGGCCCCTGAAATGCGTAGCAGCCCACCCTGCCATCTGTCTTTGCTCCTTCTCCAGTCAGTGGAGCAAGTTTTCGGCCATAAATGCTGCCAGCCATTCACCCTTTGGTAGGCCTTCTCCCATGAACAGCAGCTGCTGATGAGCCAAACCGGATTGTTGCTCTGTGTTCCTTTTCCATCACTCACTGCCTCTGAAGCCAGAGTATGTACAGTGAGTTATAATAGATGCTCTTACGATACATTAATTCCTGCGCCCTGCTGTTTTTATTTTGCATATTTCACTAAGGAATCTTTCCCAGATCTTCCTACCAGGATCTGCAGGGTTATCTTTGGATGACTCCATATTCTTCTTCAACCTCTTTATGAACCTTATGAATATGAACTCTGTGGATTTACTGTATAACCTTGGCCTCTGGAAGACTGAGTCTGACTTGTGCTTTATTGTGCATAGCATTGGTTATTGTTATCCATGTGCAATTTCTAGATAGCTCGGTGGCTGCCCAAACCTCATTTGTGTCTGTGCACATGAAAAGTGTCAAACCCTCAAACTAGCATGCTCCAAAGGTCCTTTTTAAAACATTGTGTTCACCGGTGAGCAGGTTTATTACTTGACCTCAGCTTCTGTTTGTTCTTTGGGTTCTGAGATGATCTTTAACTTCCTCTTTTGGAGACACAACAAAAAGTGAGAGACTATCTCTCCAAAGTGAGGATAATCCTCTCTTAGACAGCTGTCACTGGAACCTGTGTAACCATGAGATTTCCCTTCTGTTCCTGTTCTTGTGATGACTGAAAGGTAATTGATTTTTCATAATTTTCTGTTCTAGTGACTGAGGCCAACAGGACCAGTAGATAAAGTGAAATAGGTTGTAATCCTTACCCACTCTATCCAAATACACTAAAAATACATTTCCTGGAGATAAATTTCAACTATTACCTATTCCTGAACCTTATTTCTTGTCTGTTTAAGATGGGTTGGCCAGATTTTTACCTGCCTGACCGGTAGCAATGGGGTTTGTGGTTACTGCTATTAATAGTACTAGGCACCCCTCAATTACCCACCGTAGAGCTTGTCATCCATTCAGAGAAGCAGCTGCCTAGGATTGAAGCAAGTTTCATCCATATCAGATCTTGGCAAATTGGGGCCCCATGGCCAAATCCAGCCCTTTGGCAAGTTCTGTCCAGCCTATGATGCCTCCATTGTCAGCAGGCCTCTCTGAACCTGTCAGATTCCTCACAGAGGCATGCTGATAGATGCCCAGCTGCAAGAACCAGAAGGATAGAACCCGAGGATCTGACTGGTACACCAAGGAAGTTTGGTTCTGGTGGGAACATTGCCTAGAAGAAGTCCTGATGCTTTCCTAACACTCTGCTACCTGGATAAGTTCTTCCTGTGTTAGCGCCTGCATGCTGCAAACCTTAGGAACTGTACACCTGTTCTTCACTCCAGGTCAGGATCTGCAGAAATCCCAGCGCGACCCATCTCAGGCTCTCTCCTTCAAGTCAGAGTGCTTTTCAGAGAGCATCCTCAACACTACCATGCCACAATCACACACAGTTGTGCTGCAGCCACATTGAACTCAATGGGCAAGTTTGACAAGTGGTGCATCTCATCAAACTCTGCACCCCAAGTTAAAAATGCTGTAGGTGCTAAGCAAGCAAAGTATCATGGCCGTGGCATGTAAACAGACCCCTCCATTTGTTATCTTATAGTGCAGGTAGGCAGACAAACCACGGCTCAGCTGTTGTTTTTACCATACCCCCTTGGCCCAACTAAAAGAGAAAAATTTCATGAGCAGTTTTACCTATTATTCTTAATGCCAGGAGTTTGTTTTCTATATGTAAAAATGAATACTGAGCAGAATTAGGTTTGGTGTCCTCCCACAACAGTCCAGGGGTGTGGAAATAAAAAAAAAAAAAACTACTCGTTTAAGGACTAAATTGGGGTCTCAATGTACTTGTCCCCCATGACAATCTACTTGAAGCGCATCTGCTGAGTGAGTAAGTAAGGTGTCGGCCCAATGAGAAAAAGAAAAAACTTTATTCCTTCAGGGTACCCTCACACATGGAAGCACTTGGGTGTTCAGTACTAGCACCTGCTGAGCATCCAAATAAGGCTCTGGTGTTCACTCTGTTAGGCCCTGTTCACACCTGGACGTTTTGGGATTGCGACAGAATCACTGAGATTTTGCCTGCAATCTCAAAACGCACTACAATCGCAAAATGAAGGTTCAGGTGTCATTATTTTCAATGGCACCTAATATGCAGTGCGGTTTTGCCACGGTTGTCACGCAATTTACTGCGTGGCAATCTCGTCAAAATCACATTGCATGAAGCTTGTTGTCAAAAAAGGAGCAGGAGCTTTTTTTGAGCGAAAATCTTCACACAATACGATTGGCTGTGATTGTCACGTGAGTTTTTGTTTGGCAATTCACATCGTGTGAAACTTGTCACCCAAAAAGGAGCAAGAGCTTCTTTTGGGCAACATGCTTCACGCGATGCAATTTGTCGCACAAGAATAGCGGCTAAACTGTACCATGTTTTAAATACCATTGAAAATAATGGCACCTGAACCTGCGTTCACATTGTTTCTGCTGTGATCCCAAAACGCCCATGTGTGAATGGAACCGCCATGGTCACACATATGTGATTCTGGATGTGTTTTAAAACTCACAGATTCACATGACAGGCTAGATATTATGTGTTCTTATTAAGGTGGTTCACACAGATGAGATCCACAGACATTGCATTTTGAGTGCCATTACAAAAAAAGGGTCCTGTGTGTTTGTAGCAGTGCATTCCAGACTCACAAGTGATAAAGTGGCATGCAGAGACAAGTGTTCACATAGGATTGCTATTGACAGGAGTTTTTGCATTGAAGTCAATGGGAGGTGTTTAACACTAAATTCAATTGGAAGCACTTTTGCATTGAAGTCAATGGGAGGTGATTTTGCATTGAAGTCAATGGGACACCAACTTTGCAGCTGTCACAGTCTCCACTCTTCTGGAAAGGCTTTCCACAAGATTTTGGAGTGTGGGAATTTATGCCCACGTTACTGGATTTTTGTGAGGTCAGGTACTGATATTGGATGAGAAGACCTGGTTCGACAATCCCTTTCATTCCAAAAGTGTTCAGTAGGGTTAAGGGCAGGGTTCTGTAGAGGCTACTTGAGTTTTTAGTACACACTACACAGGCTTGCAGTATCTGTCATAATGCTTGCAATGGCAAGCTGTCATTGGTCAGCCAAACCACATGACTGTGCTGACCAATGAGAAGAGCTTATTTCTTCTGGGACACCTTACTGGAAGAAGAATCCTGATATGCACTTATCATGCATACAGTGTATGGACCGCTTTAATGGCAGCTAGGGTCATCACAGCCAACATGTGCAGAGGAGTCCAGAGTGGTGGCCAGGATAGAAATAGTTAATTGAAAAGGGAACAGAAAATAGCCTTCACCAAACAGCTGCCCTAAGTTTGGAAGTGCAAAGTTTCTAAAATGTCTTTGTATGATGTAGTATTAAACAATTTAACTAAATAATTTGAAGGGCTACCCACGTACTTTTAGCCATATAGTCCATTATACTTAAAAGCATGCTTTTAAAAAAATAAACACATATTGAAAAAATATTTCCACTAAGCTGGTCTCTTTTACACATATATCTGAAAAAAACCACCAAGCCGCCAACTCCACAACAAAGACTAGATTTAAAATATACTGGGCAATTTTAGCAAACAACAAAAAAGAAAACACCTACTTCAAAATAAACATTTCAGATTTTTTCGGCCAGGAAAACATGAGACAACTGCATTGTATGAAAAGGAGTTATTAGAAGTGTATTTGAAAGATCTCCTAGGGCCTCAGAAGAAAGCTATTGCTTGATTTGATCAGTGCATCCAAACATTCAAGGGAATAAAGGAAAGTGGATTGTAATACCCGTTATGTGAGGCTCTACTTTCATCTGCTCTCACTGTAAGCACTACTCCAATCCAGGTGCTTTATCCTCCTGTACGCTATGTGACTTCATATAAAATGATCAAAGACAAGCGAGCTACCTCCCTCACATGTAGAGGTTCTGAACAACTGGAAAGATTTGCAATTGTCTGATGATTACTGGACAGTGCGGTAAAAGTTAATCCAGGCAACAATGGAGGAATGAGACACTTACCTTCTACCAAGGATGTCAGCAGGGTTACATTGGCAGCTTTCCTTCTGCCAGCAGGTAAATTAAGACCCAGCCTGTCCAGCTTCTCTCTCAGACATCGACCACCGTTTTTGGACTTTGCCCTGCAGTTAAAGCAAAAACAACTTGGATGAAATGAAATGTTCATTTAGCAAGAGACAGGAGAAGAATGGAGGCTGAATGCCAAACTCCCGTACCATGATATAACTTTATTGATCCACTGATCAGTCTCTACCAGCTTGGTGTACTTTCAATAAAGGTACCCGTTGGAAGATTGCCTCACTTCCCCTCCCCGCCCCCTTTGTTCTGGTTGCAACAAAAGAGTTCTGGATTACCCATAATTTTCAATCTCATTGACAATGGCCACAAGGACCAATAGAAAGGGAGAATCTACACAGTGAGGACAGCTAGAAAAAAATCTTCATGACTGTTGCAGCACTTCTATAGCAAACAGACTAACAAGTCCCTCAAGTTTCCAAAAGTTCCACTTCCCCGTCTTATACAGCTTGCAAAGCTCTGATGAAGGAGGGCTTTATCAACCCCTGAAACATGTTGCCATAACATCCTGTGTCATCCCTACTGAGGACCAATACTCATAGATTTCTGGACTCCACAACATCTGGCATGGTACTCACTTTGTGTTTCCCTACTCTATTCAAGAAGGAAAACAAGTTTTGCCTACAGAAACACATTAACTACAGTAAATGAGTAGCATATTAATAACCCAAGTGGCCTGCCCTCAAGTCTTGGGTTACACATTTTGCTAACTCCTTTTATCCTCTTAAAGAAGTTCTTTAAATAAAATTTCCTAACAAATGTACAGGAACTCTACTTTCCAACAATAAAACAAAACATTTTAAAGGGTATCTAATGCCAAAACTTTTTTACGTGTTTTAGAAGGGAATACCACTTTTTTGCATGGGGATTTCCGTTACTGTACTGGAGACACAACAGAGAGTAGATGGAAATCACTGTAAAATTACTCTAAATGTCATAGGATAGAGTTGTCACCTTAACAGGTCTCTTGCTCCATAAATATACAATGACATAAAATTAATATAAATGACTTTTACAATATATTACATTATATTGTTATAACAAGAGCTAAACATGGACAATAGCCATCATATAAGACCTGTAGCTTAGTGGAGGAACTTGTTTTGAGGGCCAAAATGAAAACCCAGAACCCAAAAAAATGCAAACCCATTTGGCTTATTCATTCATATTAGCCATTCAAAAGGCAGCCATCCTTAGCAATCAAAGTGATTTCACTAATGGCAGTTAGATCAGTTAATGGCCAACACCACCCTTTTCTAAATTTTGGGTGATCAGTGTCAATTTGAATCACATGCTAGAATCTGTTTTAGCTCTTAAGAAGTCAAGTGATGACATATTTCAAATTAAATATTGAAAGAACGACTTGTTAATCAATCTGTGAGTGAGTGACACCTTTGTGATGGCCTTGTGACTACTTTAAGAGGGTAATTAAATGGACTGTAGGAGGAATAACAAAGCTGTAGGGGGTCCACCCAACCAACCAGCACTCAACCAAATCTTAAATACCATTGTTCTGATTAGGTTAGCCTTTACAATCATATTTCTGATTGGTTACTTTGGTAACCGATTTATCTACTAAAATCCTAATTTTAACCATATATACTTTTTGCAGGTAAACTTCTATGATTGGCCTGACACTGACTTTGCCATCACCTGCCAGTAAGAACCCACACAAAGTTTACAGGAAGACTTCATCTTGCACCTACTGACAAGCTCGCAGTAATGAGACTGTCAATGGAAGGCAATCACTGCTCAAACAGTGACATACAGCAATTACATGTGCTCAGTGCATGGAAATCTTCTACACAATGTATTCAAACAACATAAAGACACTTTACAAGCAAAACCATGCCAACGTATTTCAAACTAAAACCTGGTTCTTAGTTACATCGGCAGACTTTATATGCAACCTCCCTACTTCACGGGAATTAAATTTTGGGCGATAGATGCAAACAGTGGAGGGGGTTAAATAAAGGTAATACAACAGTGAATAAATAAATAAGCAAAAAAAAATGTTAGAACTTAATGCAAAGTTTTTTTTTTATATTTTGGATAGAGTAGAAAAGGGTTAAAACCACTGCCAAGTTTGTATTGCTGTCTGTATTTCCGTTAGGGAGACTGACTGTCTCTAATTTTCCCAATCATCAAAGGGTGATTGGAACAATTAGAGTCTGGGTATGAAAGTGAGGGTAAACCCAAATTTTTGGCTTGCCACCAGAACAAAAAAAGGGGGGATATCTTCCAATATGGACATCTGTTTTTGTGATAACTGTGTAAGAGGGGATTTCCCTTTAATTGGAAAGTTACGTTCATGTTACTTTCATACTTCCTGCTGAGTCTGCAAGACAGGTAGTTAAGGTGATGGCAAAATTTAAAAAAATTAAAGCAATTTTAATGATCTTTTTTATATAAATAAAAAAAATGTTAGCTTTATCTCTTGTAGCCTTTTTCAGTCACTTCCTGTCTACATGCATGTGCTCCATAACCAGATGCACACCATGGATCCTAACCAGGTTTCTGATGGTGATTATGGCAGAATGTGCCACAATGAATAATCATCATGTACCATTGCGGGAGCATGGAAAAAACCCACTGTTTCGCTTGCTCATACTAAACAGAAGGTGTCATGGATTATGGTGCATGAGAAGTTAGCGAGTGTCTTGAATGATAAGGTTACACAATTTGAGACCATGTGGTCACCTTGGGCTTCATACCTACATATCTCTCTGGAGGACTAATGGGTATGCTCTTTTTTTCTTTTTACTTCTGCACTACCCTGGATCTCTGAGTTCTTCTCCATTTTTTTCCTTTTTTCTCTTCTCTTTCTACCTCTTCTGCCTTGACTGCCTCTCTTTCTTTTCATATAGCTGGATCCCAGTATACATGATTCAAGACAGTGAGTTTGGTGTTTAAGTGTTGTGTTTAAGCATTTTTTTGTTCACTCTGATACTATAATGATGCAATGATGCTTCTTGGGAGTATTGGTGAGGTTTGGAGGGCTTGCTGCATTTCCTCACGACACCTTTCTCATATTTTGTTCATAATTAACCTAATGCATATTTCCTGTACATGCTGCTGTGAGGCTTGGGCTTATGCACACTATCTACACTCACCGGCCACTTTATTAGGTATACTATGCTAGTACCGGGTTGCACCCCTTTTGCCTTCAGAATGGCCTTATTTCTTTGTGGTGTAAATTCAACAAGGTGTTGGAAATATTCCTCAGAAATTTTGGTCCATATTGACATGATAGCATGCCTTTCTAACATCTGCCAGTCTGACTATTCTCCTCTGACCTCTTACACCAACAATGTATTTTGTCCACACAGCTGCTGCTCACTGGATATTTTCTCTTTTTTGGACCATTTTCTGTAAACCCTAGAAATGGTTGTGTGTGAAAATCCCAGTAGATCAGCAGTTTTTGAAATACTCAGACCAGCCTGTCTGGCACCAACAACCATGCCACGTTCAAAGTCACATAAATCCCCTTTCTTCTCCATTCTGATGCTCAGTTTGAACTTCAGCAAGTCGTCTTCACTATTATTATTATTATACAGTATTTATAAAGCGCCAATAGTTCGCTCAGCGCTGTACATTACAAAGGGGGACAGAACATGTGACAGAACAATACCAATACAATGCAAAACATGAGGGGATTGAGGGCCCTGCTCTTTCGAGCTTACAATCTAGGAGGGAGGGGATGGTGGCACAGGAGGAGAAAGCTGTGGGGGATGGGGTGGTAGGAAGAGTGGAGGAGGTCGGCAAGTTAGCAGGGGGTGGGGTAGGCTTCCCTGAAGAGATGGGTTTTCAGGGTGTGCCTAAAGGAGAGGAGAGTAGGTGATAGTCTGATGGGTTGGGGCAGGGAGTTCCAGAGGATGGGTGACACCCTGGATACGTCTAGATACCTAAATACATTGAGTTGCTGCCATGTGATTGGCTGATTAGCAATTTGTGTTACCAAGCAATTGAACAGGTGTACCTAATACAGTGGCCGGTGAGTGTATCTGGCTATGGTAGCCTTTTGTGTTCTTTGTATGTTTTTCTCCTGAAATTTCTAATGAAAATATTGAATGAGAATAGTCATCAGCTTGGCTGTTTATAGTTGTTGATTTAGTAAAGGCAAATTGGCTGTTCACTTTGCAGGGGAATTTTCACATTGCAAAGGAAATTACCCTTAGCTTAGTGAATGAGGTGAATATCTGCTCACTTCAATCATCCGATCATCTGCAAGCAAAAATACAGTTTTTTTCTATTTTCCTTCTCAAGTGATTGGGTATTCTTTGCAAAGTGAATTTTCACCACATTCACTAAGCTAAGAGAACATTCCCTTGCAAAGTAAACAGCCTGTCTGCCTTAAGTAAATCAGCCTCACAGTCTCCATGTGACATGTGGACAATGCAGGAGAGAAATTGGAAGAGAAGGGCCAAGTCTGGTCACCCCATAACAGCAAGTGCAGAACAAGCACACTTATCTCAGTTTCACCTTTTATTATAAAGAAAATTGCTGATTTTAACATTTTGAAAATTACTTTTGATATAACATTAAAATATTAAGAATGATGTGAGTTTTTGGTGATTGGGTTTACATATGCTTTAAGGCCTCGTGGCACAGCAGTCTGTAATTTAATGATCCAGTAGACTTCTTGTTCCTGGAGCTTATAGTGTAAATCAATGTCCTTCTCTCCACACCTTGGAAGGGAGAAGAGGATGTAGACTCGTGTATTTTCAAATGATGGATGGGTGTTCTAAGGTTTCAGTCAATGCAAGTGTTTTTTATGCTTATTAGAAATGGTACGTCTCACATGTATGTTGTAGAAGAAGCTTATGGTGCCTACAGGTAATAATAATAACAACATAAACTCCTGTTGTGGCCCACAAGGCAATAAACCAAGGGCTAGAGATAAGAGTCAACCATTCCTCAGTTTTTAGAATGGGAATATCCCAGCCACAACTGACTAACCCTCTGGTCTTATGTCGGGCTTATAGACCTTGTTGTAGATGACATGGAGATGGAGAAGGCTTAATTGGACCCTATGTAAACTGAGTGTCCCTGTTGGCTGGGCACTTTGGCTTCTTTGACAAAAATGGGGTTTGCTGAGCAGGCTTAATGACTATATAATAATGATAAATGCAAACATTTTATCTTTTGAATAAACTTATTTACAGTATTTGGACCATAATTCTGCGGTACGGCACCTCACTTCCTAATTGCTTATCCTTTAACCACATGCCCTCCTGAGGATTTACCCCCCTTAATGACCAGGCCTCTTTTTGCTACTCGGCACTGCACTAATTCAACTGATAATTGCGCGGTCATGCAATTCTGCTTCCAAACAAAATTTACGTCCTTTTTTTCACACAAATAGAGGTTTCTTTCAGTGGTATTTGATCACCTGTGCGCTTTTTATTTTTCACGCTATAAAAAAAAAAAGACCAAAAATTTTGAAGAAAAATGATATTTTTTACTTTCAGCTATAAAAAATATATAGTAAACTCAAAGTTGGTTATAAATTTAGGCCAAAATGTATTCTGCTACATGTTTTTGGTAAAAAAATTCCAATAAGTGTATATTGATTGCTTTGTGTGAAAGTTATAGCGTCTACAAACTATGGTATAGATACTGCAATTTACTCCATTTTTTTGCTATACAGCGCTGCGCTAGTTTAACGGACAATTGCGCAGTCATAAAATACGGTACATAAATGAAATTTACATCCTTTTTTTTCCCACAAATTGAGCTTTCTTTCAGTGGTATTTGATCGCCTGTGCGGTTTTTATTTTTTTGCGCTATAACAAAAAAGGCTGACAATTTTGAGGAAAAGAAACAATAATTTGGACTTTTTACTATAAAACATGTCCAGTAAAAAAAAATTTAAAAATCAAATTTAGTCATAAATTTCTGCCAAAATGCATTCTGCGACATGTCTTTGCTACAAAAAACCCAATACGTGTAAATTAATTGGTTTATGTGAAAGTTATAGCATCTACAAATGGCGGGAAAGATACTGGGATTTTTAATTTTTATTTATACTAATAATGGCGGCGATCAGCGACTTATGGCGGCGATCAGTGACTTATGGCGGCGATCAGCGACTTATGGCGGGACTGCGGGACTGCGGCGGACATTCTGACACTGGGGGGGAACTGACTTGGGGTCACTGACATTCCCAGTGACACCAATATAGTGATCAGTGCAAAAAAAAAACACTGACACTGTACTAATGGCACTGGGGAGGAAGGGGTTAACTTTATTATTCAGTGAAAGGGTTAACTGTGTGAGGGGAGTGTTTTACTAGGGGGCAGGGGTGTGTACTGCAGGGAACACCGCTGATCGGGAGAGATAAACTCTTCTGTCCTGATCAGCTTGTCAGGAGCTGTCAGGGAACTGACAGAAAGCACAGCTACTGCAGCTGTGCCCTCTGTCACTGATTGCCGCTAATTGCCGCGACATAGCCAGTAGCGACCCTCTGTGACCCGGCGACTGACATCCACAACTGTGATCGGCGGGACAGGTAGGGCGGCGGCGCGCGCGCCCCCTACCTGTTTTGAAAACACACATTTTAAAACGTGGTTTTGCCCAGCCGTGCCGCCCTGCTGCCGTATTTCTACAGTGGCTGGACGGCATGTGGTTAAATAGACTTGGTCACTTAAAGAAAACTGAAAGTTCCCGACTGCCATAAATTGCAGGCACCCACATATGCACAGATCTGCAGCAGCTTCAGTATTCTGTACTGTGCTAGAATTCCTGGCGTTGTGTAAATCACTGATACTTCCGAGGCAAGTTTCTTCATTACACATTCCTTGTGGCCTATCACTATTATGGACTGCTTCACTAGCCAATAAGAATGTGCGTAAGGCAGGAGAGAGGTAGGCAAGCTTCAGCATTGGACAGCCCAGAATTCAGTAAAGCAGAGAATACAAAAAGCAACTACCCCTCTGGGAGTCTTCCAACTCTGGATTATTGAATTCCGCTGTTTGTTTATCATTATTTGCAATTTCTTATTGAGTAAGACAAATCATGCAACAGTGGGAAGAATATAGAAACTCTGATATTTATTGTGGTAATTGGAGCTATTACACCTTTCTTTCCTGAAGACCACACATGAAGTGAGAGGAATCTCAGCAGGGACTCTATCCCTTCTCTACTCTATAGTGTTTTTTGTCTGTGTACCCATTGAAGATTTCCCATCATAGAAAAACACAGAAGAGTGATGGAAGAAAAAAGTGGTCCATTGAGTTGGCCCTAATTTATTATTTTTTTCTAATATACTTTTTTGACTGAGTATAGATCTCTGTTTGTCCCAAGCAAGGTTGAATCTCTATACTGTTGACTTACTCATTACCTCTTCTGGAAGTCTATTTTAAGCACAAATTACTCTTTCAGTAGTTAGTTTTCAACTTTCCTCCTGCTAGTTTGAGGTCATGTCCCGTGTTCTTGATCTTAGCTTCATATTGAACATACTGCCCTCCTGAACCTTATTCACACATTTACTGTATTTAAACGGTCTATTCATGTCTCCCTTTCCCTTCTGTCCTTAAGACTGAACATAATAAATTCCTGAAGTCTCTTCTGAAATGTTTTATCTTCAAGACCTTGAATAATTTTTATTGCTTGTCTCTGGACTCTCTTTATCTTATCAATATCTTTTTGTAAGTGAGGTATTCAGAACTGGACTGAGGTCTATCTAAAGATCTATTTCAGGAATTAGGACCCCCTTCCTTCTGCTGGTGATGCCTGTAGTGATAACTAAAGATCTACATAGAGTAGATGAATCATGACTACTTCCTTGTGATGACGTTCCATCTATGATAACTAAAGATCTATATAGGGGAATCAGGACCTCCCTCTGCCTAATGGTGATCCCTTTAGTAATATCCAAAGATCTATATAGGGGAATCAGGACCTCCTTTCTTCTGCTGGTGACCCCTCTAGTGATAACTAAAGATCTATATAGGGGAATCAGGACCTCCTTCCTCCTGCTGGTGATCCCTCTAGTGATAACTAAAGATCTATATAGGGGAATCAGGACCTCCCTCTGCCTAATGGTGATCCCTTTAGTAATATCCAAAGATCTATATAGGGGAATCAGGACCTCCTTTCTTCTGCTGGTGACCCCTCTAGTGATAACTAAAGATCTATATAGGCGGATCAGCACCTCCTTCCTCCTGCTGGTGATCCTTATAGTGATAGCTAAAGATCTATATAGGGGAATCAGGACTTCCTTCCTCCTGCTGGTGATCCCTCTAGTGATAAACTAAGGTCTATATAGGGGATTCAGGACTTTCTTCCTCCTGTTGGTAATCCCTCTAGTGATAAATTAAGATTTATAGAGGGGAATCAGGACTTTATTCCTCCTGCTAGTGATCCCCCTGATAGCAACACAAAATCTTTATACATAAGGGGTGGGCAACTGTGGCCCTCCAACTGTTGCAGAACTACAAGTCCCACCATTCTAATGCCTCTGGGAGTCATGATTTAAACTGTCAGTCTTGCAGTGTTTCATGGGACATGTAGTTTAACAGCAGCTGGAGGGCCTTAGTTGCCCACCCCTGATATACATGATTTAGAACCTTCTCTTACAACTGGAGATCCCTCTAGTAATACACCCTAGAATTATATTCACTTTTCCCACTGCTTGGTGATCACGTCCAGTTTTGGCAGCCACATAGGAAGTGAGGGATATAGACAGCGGTTATTAGTTGACAAAGGTTCTCACCCTTCCCCAGCTTATGCAAAGCAATAAAAAAAAAGGTTTTGGCTGGAATAGCCTTAAAATGTGAAATTCAAGGTACAAAACAAATTAACTACTTGATACTGATCATACTTTACCTTCGTAATATTCCACCCAGCAGAGACGCGTTGAGGCATTCTGGTGGAGACAACCGCCTTTTCACCTCCGCTATAGTGACCTTGTATTTAGACGTGGAACTTAGTAAAGAAAGCCGACCAGAACAGAACAGAAGAGATCTGTGGGGTTTACTACACAAGTACCACCTAAAGAAATCAGAATGAGAATGATAAAAGTCGATAAATAAATACAGCGTGTATAGATCGGTCAACAACTGTTACCTATGTACTAGATAATAAAAGAACATGCAGGGAAAATGGATTTCCAGTCCTCTTAGACATATTACCAGGATGCAAAGAATAGGCCTTTCTGCAATCAATGGGGGAGATTTATCAGAAGAGTGCAGAATCCAGAGCAACTCTGCATAGAAACCAATCAGCTTCCATGTTTTATTGTCAAAGCCTTTTTGAACAAGCTGAAGTTAAAAGCTGATTGGCTACCAAGTACCATATTCTGAGTGCTCCAGTTTTAGTACCAATTTACAATCTACACATTTTACCCCAATGTGTAGATTGTGTTTATAATCTACCCTTACAAACAACTGTCAGTCCACAGCAGTAAGTTATACAGTACTAAGTAGTGCATAGCACCCAGATTTCCCTATTTAAATCTTAATCCCTCTTTCCGACATGATTGCTACTCAGGAATAAGTCTGAAAGTGCAAACAATTTTTTGAAGTAACATTACCACTACTGTGTGAAAAAAGGGCAGCACAATAGTATCCAAGCTTGAGTTAAAAGTGATTATAAAGGCTCAAGGTCTTTGTATGAAGGTAAAAAACCTTCTGTGTGCAGCAGCTCTCCCAGCCCCCTCAATACTTACCTGAGCCTCATCGAGATCCAGCAATATGCACAACAGCCTCGGCTCTTCCAGATCTCACCCTTTTTATTGGCTGAGACAGCAGTGGTAGCTATTGCCTCTCACTACTGTCAATCGTAGCTAGTGAGCCAATGAGGAGATAGCAGGGCTGACACATAGAGCAGCAGCTCAAGAGCATGCCTGCTTGGGTGCCCCCATAGCAAGCTGCTCGCTCTCGGGGCACTAGGCAGGAGGGAGGGGCCTGGAGCACCAGTGAAGGCCCCGAAAAGAGGAGGATCCAGGCTGCTCTGTGCAAAACTACTGCACATTGCAGGCAAGTATGACATGTTTGTTATTTAGGAAAAACAACTTTATTATCAAGTTAACATAGATAAAATAGATCTAAATCCAACCACTAAAATTTCATATAAACTGACATTAACCAATTACCTACTGGGCACTTTTACCCCCTTTGTGCCCAGGCCAATTTTCAGCTTTCAGCGCTCTCGCACTTTGAAAGACAATTGCGCATTCATGCAACACTGTACCCATGTGAAATGTTTATCACTTTTTTTCACACAAATAGAGCTTTCTTTTGGTGGTATTTAATTGTTACTGAGTGTTTTATTATTTGCACTATAAACAAAAAAACAGCAAAAAATTTGAAAAAAAAAAGTTTTTTCTTTGTTTCTATTATAAAATTTTGCAAACAGGTATTGTTTTTCCTTCCCTGATGTACGTTGATGAGGCTGCACTGATAGGCAGCACTGATGGGCACTGATGATGTTGCAATGAAATGCAGCAATGATGGGCACTGACAGGCAGCACTGATGGGCGACAATGATGGGCGGCACTGACTGGCGGCACTGACTAACAGCACTAACTGGAGGCACTGACTGATCGCACTGACTGGTGGCACTGATGGGCGGCACTGCTGGGCACAACTGCTTTAGATTAAGATTAGATTAAGGGAAGCAATAAAACCACGGCTCGATTGTCTGTTTTTACTGCCTTACGGCCACATACAGTATGTGAGTGAGCCCTAAGTGTATAAAGGTATTTGCTTGCTAGAGCATTTATATACAGTATATAGGCCAATATGTCAAACAAGAGGAAACAGATTGGAGTAAAGAGTGTTAGAGTGAGCGTGAGAGAAAGAGACAGAAAGAGGGAGAAAGAAAGGAAAAGGACATTTTGGAAAGCATGGGTCATGTCATTTTTAAAGCTGAAGGTTAATCTGCTTACATGTTGCCTTTCATGGTTACATAAAAACCTTTCTGCTCTTACTACATACCGTACATTTGACTCAGTAATAAAATTACTAGGTCTTTGTGCTTCTCAATGCAATGCAGGCATATTACGGGGGGGGGGGGGGGGGGGGGAAGCAGGGTGCTGTACACAACTTCCTAAAAACAAAAAGCTGTGGCATGCTGAGCCTCCATGCTTGAAAGATATTAAATCCGATGAATTAAAAGAGCAGGTAAGGGACAATCAGGCTGGGAAGGAAAGTGCTAGGTGGTGCTGGATGTTTTCCTGCCAGAAAAATGATGCTTGTTCTATCTACCTTGCTGCAGATGCTAATGCACACTGTGAGTAACTCACAGTGTGCAGTCAAATCAGAATAAGCAAAGGAGAGGAGCCTGTACAACTGTGCAAGGCTGAAGGGAAGGCTGGAGGTCATTGCCCAGTTGGCACAGCTATTTATTTCCAGCTGTGGAATACAGAATTTAATTACTGAATGGAATGACTGAAAGACTGACTGATGGAGTATTACAATTCTCTTTCCTTTTAAGGCTCATTCACAGTGATGCCCAGGGGGTTGGAGGTAGGGGAGGGGGCAGTAAAAGCAGGCGGTTGAGCCATGGCTTTTCTGCCCACCTGAATAAGGAGACGCAGCCATTGCGTACCGTATACGTCACATTCAACGGGCAGCACTGCCGTTGAACATGACCCATTAAAGTGAATGGGGTTGCGCCACAACCACACTGCAACCATGTACAATGCACAAAGTTGTGACATGATCAGCCGTTATTATCAGGGTTAAAGCAGTAGTAAACTACCACAATAAGCTTTTACCTAGGTAATCATACAATATGTAATCAAACAACATTCCTGTATGTACAATTAATATCTCCTAAACATGCACTGTTTAGGAGATATTCACATCGGCAATAGCTGATGACGGCATCGGCGCAGAATGCCACGCCACGGTTGTGATGTAATCGCGGCATACAGCACATTATGGCACTAGCCCTCTGGGGTCCTGCATGTTTTGTTTTTTTTGCAAGACTTTAAAACCGCTTTAAAACAGCAATCCACTTTGGATAGCTTTTCAGTGGGACTCCAATGACAGCTGAACACCTGAAGGATCCTTTAGACACTTTCAGAACTGAGACAAGAAACAAGATGCAATGGGCCAGCTTAAACATGTATTGCAATATGTGGAAACTAAAAATTCCTGCTTCTTATTGCAAAGCCTGCCATAGTTTGGTATATAGTGGTGTGCAGAGGGTGCATCCAAAATGTCTACTTTCAGAAATGCAACACACAGTAACCAGGGGCATGCGGAAGAGGGTGTGTAGGTTTCAATAAGCCGTCTCTCAGAAATATCCCACAGATCGCACCTCTGGCACACAGGTCAGAAAATACAAGCTGATACAGAATTAAATTAGGCCTTTTCCCTTTTTACCCACTTTCCCTAACAGCAATCCTTAGATAGATCTTGGTAGGGGTTAAGAGACAGATAGAGATAGATAGATAGATAGATAGATAGATAGATAGATAGATAGATAGATAGATAGATAGATAGATAGATAGACAGAGAGATGATAGCTAGATAGATAGATAGATAGATAGATAGATAGACAGATAGATGATAGATAGATAGATAGATAGATAGATAGATAGATAGATAGATAGATAGATAAATCTTGGTAAGGGTTATGAGATGGATGGAATGATAGATAGATAGATAGATAGATAGATAGATAGATAGATAGATAGATACATAGATAGATAGATAGATAGATAGATAGATAGACAGACAGACAGACAGACAGACAGACAGACAGACAGACAGACAGACAGACAGACAGACAGATAGATAGATAGATAGATAGATAGATAGATAGATAGATAGATAGATAGATAAAACAGACACGTTTCTGTAGACTGTATTGGTGAGTATTATATTTATACATTGGCCTCCATAATGCCTTGTGACATGTGAAATTTTAATAGAGAGAGAGATAGATAGATAGATAGATAGATAGATAGATAGATAGATAGATACAGATAGATAGATAGATAGATAGACAGACAGACAGACAGACAGACAGACAGACAGACAGACAGACAGACAGACAGACAGACAGACAGACAGATAGATAGATAGATAGATAGATAGATAGATAGATAGATAGATAGATAGATAAACAGACACGTTTCTGTAGACTGTATTGGTGAGTATTATATTTATACATTGGCCTCCATAATGCCTTGTGACATGTGAAATTTTAATAGAGAGAGAGATAGATAGATAGATAGATAGATAGATAGATAGATAGATAGATGATAGATAGATAGATAGATAGATAGATAGATAGATAGATAGATAGATAGATAGAGAGATGATAGATAGATAGATAGATATAGATAGATAGATAGATAGATAGATAGATAGATAGATAGGTAGGTAGATAGACAGACAGACAGACAGACAGACAGACAGACAGAGAGATAGATAGACATTGGTGATAGATAGATAGATAGATAGATAGATAGATAGATAGATAGATAGATAGATAGATAGATAGATAGATAGATAGATAGACATTGGTGATAGATAGATAGATAGATAGATAGATAGATAGATAGATAGATAGATAGATAGATAGATCTTGGTAAGGGTTATGAGATGGATGGACTGATAGCTAGCTAGCTAGCTAGCTAGATAGATAGATAGATAGATAGATAGATAGATAGATAGATAGATAGATAGATATAACAGATAGATAGATAGATAGATAGATAGATAGACAGACAGACAGACAGACAGACAGACAGACAGACAGACAGACAGACAGATAGATAGATAGATAGATAGATAGATAGATAGATAGATAGATAGATAGATAGATAGATAGATGGATCTTGGTAAGGGTTATGAGATGAATGGAATGATAGAATGATAGATAGATAGATAGATAGATAGATAGATAGATGATAGATAGATAGATAGATAGATAGATAGATAGATAGATAGATAGATAGACAGAGAGATGATAGCTAGATAGATAGATAGATAGATAGATATAGATAGATAGATAAATCTTGGTAAGGGTTATGA